AAAGAATAACATACCTAGGAATAAACCTAATGAAGGAAATGAAAGACTACAAGATACTCATGAGAGAAATTAAAGAAGATATCAATAAATGGTAACACATCCCATGCTCATGGATAGGAAGAATTAATATTGTCAAAATGGCCATCCTTGCTAAAGCAACCTACAGATTCAATGCAATCCCTAGCAAAATATCAACAGCATTCCTCAACAAACTAGAGCAAATAGTTCTAGAATTCATATGGAACCACAAAAGATCCTGAATAGCCAAAGCAATCCTGAGAAGGAATAATAAAGCAGGGGGGATTACACTCTGTAACTTCAAGCTCTACTACAAAGCCACAGTAATCAAGACAATTTGGTACTGGCACAAGAACAGACCCATAGACCAATGGAACAGACTAAAGAACCCAGATATAAACCCAAGCACACATGGTCAATTAATATACAATAAAGGAGCCATGGATATACAATGCAGAAATGACAGCCCCTTCAACAGCTGGTGTTGGCAAAACTGGAGAGCTACAGGTAAGAGAATGAAATTGGATTATTGTCTAACTCCATAGACAAAAGCAAACTCGAAATGGATCAAAGACCCGAATGTAAGTCATAAAGCCATAGAACTATTAGAAAAAAACATAGGCAAAAATCTCTTGAATATAAACATGAGCAACTTTTTCCTGAACATATCAACTCAGGCAAGGGAAACAAAAGCAAAAATGAACAAATGGGACTACATCAAGCTAAAAAGCTTCTGTAGAGCAAAGGACACCATCGGCAGAACAAAAAGGCATCCTACAGTATGGGAGATTATATTCATAAATGGCATATCTGATAAGGGGTTGACAGTGAAAATATATAAAGAGCTCACACACCTCAACAACCGAAAAGGAAATAACCTGATTATAAAATGGGCAGAGGATCTGAACAGACACTTCTTCAAAGAAGAAATTCTGATGGCCAACAGGCACATAGAAAAATGCTCCACATCACTAATCATCAGAGAAATGCAAATTAAAACCACAATCAGATATCCCCTCACACCAGTTAGTGTGGCCAACATCCAAAAGACAAAAAACAACAAATGCTGGTGAGGATGTGGAGAAAGGGGAACCCTCCTACACTGCTGGTGGGAATGTAAACTAGTTCAATCTATGGAGGTTCCTCAAAAAACTGAAAATCAAAATACCATTTCATCCAGAAATTCCACTCCTAGGAATTTACCCTAAGAATGAGGATCCCAGTTTGAAAAAGACATATGCACCCCTATGTTTATTGCAGCACTATTTACAATAGCCAAGATATGGAAGCAACCTAAGTGTCCATCAGTAGATGAATGGATAAAGAAGATGCGGTACATATACACAATGGAGTATTATTCAGCCATAAGAAAAAAGCAAATCCTACCATTTGCCGTAACATGGATGAAGCTAGAGGGTATCATGCTCAGTGAAATAAGCCAGGTGGAGAAAGACAAGTACCAAATGATTTCACTCATCTGTGGAGTATAAGAACAAAGCAAAAACTGAAGGAACAAAACAGCAGCAACTCACAGAACCCAAGAATGGACTAACAGTTACCAAAGGGAAAGGGACTGCAGATGGTGGATGGGAAGGGAGGGATAAGGGGATTAAGGGACATTATGATTAGCACACATAATATAGGGGGGGCATGGAGCAGGAGTTATAGCACAGAGACCACAATAGTGATTCTGTAGCATCTTACTATGCTGATGGACAGTGACTGTAATGGGGCATTTGGTGGGCACTTGATAATGGGGGGAATGTAGTAACCACAATGTTGCTCATGTGAAACCTGAACATAAGACTGCATATCAATGATACCTTAATAAAAAAAAGTAAAATATATATACAAAAATATAGAAGGTCTATCAGTTTAAAGCAAAACAAAAACTTAGAGAATGAAGTTCTAGTAAATGTTACAGCATAGATGAACCTTGGAAGCATTGTGCTAAGTGAGAGAGGCCAGTCACAAAGACTCCTTATTGTATGATTCCATTTATATGAAAGGGCCAGAGCAAGCAAATCTATGGAAACAGAAAGTAGATTAATGGTTGTGTAGGGCTGAGGGGAATTATGGGGAAATAGAGAGTGATTGCTAATAGCTATGAGATTTCTTGTGGGGTTTTACAAATGTCCTAATATTACTGCGGCTATTGTGATGGTTGTACAGTTCTGTGAATATACCAGAAACCACTTTAAATGGATGAGTATGTGTAATATATCTCAATAAAGCTTGAAAAATGCTAATGAATTGGAAAGTTTCAATAAAATGGATGCTTTTCTAGGAATCCTAGCAAATTGGGATTATGAAGGGGTAGAAAACATGGGGGAAAATTATGCTGTTAAAAAAACATTTCCTCCAAAGATTATTACTGTCCCTGGATAGTTTTATGAGTGTAAGTCCGGGAGAGGAAATCCCGGGGCAAAATACCTCTAAAAACCAAAATCAGTCAAAGGGAGAAATAAAGTTTAAAACCCGTTTATTGCTTACAAACTGCAGTCCAGCGCCGTCTCTCTCCCCTGCTCTGTAAGAAGTCAGCAAGCAAGCAAACCCCTCCCCTTAACCTCTCAGGTTCAGACACGCCCCTCAGTTGCCCAGGTAATTACCCACTGACATGTAGATGAACTTCTCTCCACCCCTGAGGATATGCAAATGCACCAAAGCCAGGGGAGATATTCTGGAAATGTTACAATTTTACCCACAATGAGCAAGTCCTAATTTATAAGGAACAGACAATTTCCATGCTCTAAAAGTAGTTCCCTGTACAGAGGAAAAGAAGGTAAAAAAGCCCCATTCATTTTGTGAAACTAAAGTTGTCCTGTCCACAAAACCTAATGAACACACTCATGCATGCGTGCACACACACACACCGAAAGAAAATTGAAGACTAATACCAGGTATGATTACAAACGCAGAAATCATAAATAAAGTACCAGCAAACCAAATCCAGCAATACAAAAAGAACACTACTCCGTAAACAAGACGGATTATTCCAGGGGTGCAATTTAACATTAAGAAATCTAGATAAATAGTTCATAACAACAATTAGCCAAAGGAGAAAATCTACATGAATGACAGAGAATTAATAGCTGAAAATTATTTTTTAAATCTCTTAAGAAAGCTAAGAAAAATATTTCCACCAGAACAGAAAACTGGGCATTCTACAAGTGGCAGGACCAGAGATGACTTATTTTCATCTTCTGCATTTTATAGTTTTTCTACAACACAATTTTAAACTCCAGAAAAAAAGTTTAAGTGTGCATCTGAGGAGCAAGGAGAGAGAAAAGGTAAAACAACATAACAGTTCCTTCTGCTGCCATCATGCTGAGCCATTTGTGTCAGAGTGTGTTGGCACCTCAAAACTGAATTCAAGAATTTGTTCTGTATGAATAGGAAGAACATAGATTAAAACAAATGAAAAAGGGGGTAATACATTAATATGTTGTCTGTATAATTTTTACAATGTATAAACACAGAAAACTTTAGAAACCAGCATGTCAAACCATTAAGAATGGTTAATTCTTGTTGGTAGGAATATGGGATATTGTTACTTTTGTGGGCATGATTTTTAATTTTTTTTATTTTCCAAAAATAACACAACCAAATGAGAGAGCCACAGAAATTTCTATTCATTGGTTCTGGAGCAGTAGGGACATATTTAATCACCTGTCTCTGAGTCTGGCAGGAGCCCAGTCAGTTCCTTGGATGGGAGGAAGCATTCACGGCCATCCCTTTCCGCCCCTGGATTCCAGGGCTGAACATGGGGCACTTCCAGTGAAATAATCCAACAATGCTAGTCTCTCCATTCCACTGCATGCCAGGGAGACCCTCACCCTAGGCCAACAGACCCACAAATGGACCTCTAGGCCTTCAGAGCCTCCAGTGAGAAGCATTCTCTCCCGTGCTATGGCCCTGTACTCTGAGCTCTTATGTCATCTGCCCCCACCACTGGGCTATGAACTGCTGGAGGGCCGGTACTGCAGTTTGGGGCAAATCTTGCCTCTGTGCCTAACATAGCACCTTGCATAGACTAGGTATTCAATTAACATTTATGAGACTTTGAAAGGCAGGCGAGTATGAAACAGCATCTTGGTGCCTGACTTGGGAGTAGAGGGACAAGGGTATCAGCAACCCAGAAGCATCTTCTCTCAAGAAAGCTCAAGCTAGCTCACAGCTTGGCCACTTCCTGTACGGTGCATGGCGGTGGTGGTCTCATGGGTAAGACTGCCACCTAGTGGACGGGGGCTCGCACATGCACTGAGTGAGACAGTCCACCGTAGAAATCCAATGGTCCAAACTGATTTAATTAAAAATATACAAATCATCACAATAAGCGGAACAGTGGGGAGCAGATGAACTGTCTGTGTAAGGACACGGAAGCAACAAAGTCAGTGGCATCAATATACAAACTTACCTGTGATGCAGTAGGTTTCCTTTGTTCTAAAGTGAGGGAATACACCCCATCTTATGGCAAAGGAATTACAAATTAACTATAAGGGTCAAGGTGCATGGTACTTACTCAGGGTTTCTGGGGGTGCTATGGTACTTCCATAACTTTAAAATAATTCTACCTTTTTCAGTATTATTTCTCTTACTTAGTGGGGAGATGATGGAATTTGCCTACCATAAGAATTAAGTAAAGGGAGAAATCTCCTTTGCTAAAAGTTCATATAATGAAAGGTAGGGGAAAATGACTTCCTTCCTTAAAAAAGCTAATCTTTTAAATATTGCTAGGTGTCCCAAGTCATGGACTGGTGTTTTTAGAAAAAAACTTTTAGGGACAGAGAAACTCAGATCAAAATTGTACTTATATTTTTACAATTGAGAAAAAAAGCCCTTATATTTTCCCCTACAAATATAAGCCAAATAAGGACTGTCAAACTGAGCACAGGGAAATTTTTTCTAACATCAGAATGGAATGACGTGCCAGGGCTCAAGCTCACACATAGAAAGTCTGAAAGCATGTGCTGGTTAAATACCTCACACTTGATCTGTGTGAAGTGCTGTCCTTTCTTTCAACACAATAAACTGGAGACGGTCCATCTCGACTTGGAGCTTCAGGGAACCACATAGATTTCATGTCGAGAGTACTATACACAGCTTGAGAATCCCACTCTGAACAAGTACCTTGGAAAAGCGAGTTAAAGAATTTTTTTTTCAGTTAAGCCAGGAGATATCTTAAATCCTAGCCAGTCTAACTAGAAAATCTGTGGAATTCAAGAGGTAAACCTCACCTGCTGGTAAATACCAGCCATATAACAGAACTTACAATAAAGTTTCTGACTGATTTCTCTGTCCTCACTTGTCCGAATTTGGCCAAACGGATACATTCTAGACTTTATTAATATTCTTACAGTCTAACTCAGGCTATTTCACATTTCTCCTCCAATCCCTGTTCAAAAACATGCAATGCCCCAAACTGCCTTTCAAAAAAAAAGTGAAACACCTCAGTATGGTACTCAAGGCCTCAAAACTGTGGTCCCAATCTTTCAAACATATTTGACATATTCTCCCACCATGAGCGTGTGCTCCAGCCAAATTAAACTGTTTACTGTTCACGTGTATCAATATGTATTTTTTCACCTCTCTAGCAGTGAAAAAAATCAGGTCAGCCCAGAAGACCATTAGCATCATTCCCAAATCCTGTAAACAGGTGGCCCAGAAGAAAAAGTACCATCAGACATGCTATCACACAAGGTGCTGCCTTCGAGAATACAGATCCATGGAGAATGACTCAGAAGTTCATTCTCTCAGCACCTGCCCGGGGCTGTTTCAGTGCTTGTTGTAGTACTGACTAGTCCAGTGCTTCCCAAACATTTTTGGAGTTGTGATATTTCATTGGTTCTACTTTTTTTCTTTTTGGTATTATTTTTGTAAAACTCACCCATCCCATCCCCAAAACGCTATAAAAAAAACTTCAAAAGAAAATAATCAATTAAGATGAGTTTGACTTTGAGATTTTAGAGCAGTTTTGTGAGGCTTTTTGAGATCCTACGAGACACCCTGGAATATCCCCAAATGCAGTTGAGAGTCACTATCTCGGCATATGGTGAAGAGGGCTTTGATTTGGGTTTCACCCATCACATGCCCAAACTCTCATCTATTTTCGAATTCATCATGGTGCCTTCAAATTGGCTTCCCAGAGTCAGATCTAGCTCAATGAGTAGGCATTTTCCTTGGGAGTGAGTCTGCATGCAGGAGGCCCTTTGAAAAGTAACCCAACCACAAACAAGGTTGTGCAATGCACCTACCATCAGGGTAATGGCAGGAGAGGGACACACAGAATGAAAACTAATGATGTACCTATTTTCTCCCAGGTCTCTCAGCCTGGAAATTATGAGAACACATGCTGTAAATAAAGACCTTTGTTTTCCCAGAATGAAGAAGTCATATGTAATCCAGGTAAAATAATCTCACCATAACTCTAGAATCAACTTATGATAGTAAACATTCTATGTGCTACCAACAAAGTATGAGACACTATCACATTATTTGATAATACAGGGATGTTAAGTCTTTTTGGGCTGCAGAGAGACATTTATGTTACTGAACTTACATTTGGAGACCACAAGGCTTGGCCAGGTGTGGATCCAACATCCCAACAGAATTGTTCTTGGGAAGGAGCTGGACTTTGGGCTGGCTTTAGCTGCTGTGAACAGGAGTTCTTTCTGAAGTAGGGATGGGAGTTCAGGACTTTGAGATTTTTCTCACTTTTCACAGGGTTCTCTGTTGAGATGTTTCTGCAGAGAGATTAGAAGTGAAGCACTGGGAGAAGAAGCTGGAAAACAAACATAAGGCTCCCTTGCCAGGAGTACATTTTGTCTCCACAAACCTATTTTGTTTGCAATCACAATTCAGCAAACATTTTTGACAGAATTCTTTAATTGCAACTGAGAGACTGAACTTCAGGCTAGCCGTCTGTGAAGAATTCCAATATTCGAGTATAACTGTAATATAAATAAGAGTTCTACAAGTCATTGGAGAGTCTCAGACCAAAGGAAAGATGACAGACCATGCAGGCTACTGGTCTGTCTCCAGAATACAAGAAGCCTACCTCAAACAGACTGGATAAGAGTCCAAGTCATTCTCAAAGGATTACACCGAAGAATCCAAGAACTGTAGACCTATCTTAGAGCCAGAAAAGACCTGTAGAGAACATTTGCTATAGTCCTTTTGCAGAGAACAAAGGTTTTATGCCGACTTTAAGTAGGCCTAATGTTAAGAAGGCATCCTTCGCAACCTCAGGTGAAAATAAATAATGTGAAATAAACAGTACATGTGTAGAGTATCAACACATAAAATAACTTTTTCAGATTCTATGACTTTTTGCATATAAAAAAGGGCCAGCATAATCTAGTCAGCTAATCTGAAAGTGCTAAACACTAAAGTTCCTCCTGCTTCTTAAGTATTTCTTCTTCTCCATCCCCTTGAGTAACTGCTTAGGTCACTAGGTGCCTCTAGCTCCTACCAGAATCACAAGTGATTTTGATCTTTCAGAGGGAGAACTATCCCAAAGAAAACCTTAAGAGATGGATTAGTGCTTCATTTCCCCTAGGAATTTCCATGTGTTTAGAGAAGGGGGTCTAGATTAAAGCAAAGCCATTTTCAGAGTTGACTAGACATCCCAACAGGAGGCTGCCAGTTCCCCAGATCAGAAGCCAGGCAAAACTAAACACACAGCATAGCTATGGGCTTCTGAAGCCTTCACTGCTCTTCCCTCCTTGGCTAAAGGAGACTAGAAGTTTCAGATCTCCCCGGATTCAGAATATGGGCTGGGAGACAAGCACAAGGGAAACCTATCCTATCTCTAAAAAAGCTCTGCATGCAGAAGCTAGAAGGCCATCTATCTGGAACATGGAAAATGACTACTGCATTGGATGAAATATGAGATTTCTCGACCTCTTCCAGCCCTAGGATTCCAGGAGCACTATAAGGGGATGAAGCAACAGCAGTCACACCAGTCCCTAACTGGTCTATGCTACGCTTTTAAATTCATAAACGATTCTCCCCTATTACCACTGCTGATCTTCACAAAAGCCTCATGAAGCCAGTGTTGTTAGGATAACTTCAGAGATGAGGAAATTTATGCACAGAGAGATGAATTTGTGGCCCAGGGTCATGCAGCTGGTGAACAGCAGGACTGATATCCAAACACTCCTTTCATGGCAAGACAGGGCCATGAACAGAAAATCGTTTTCCATTTCGCTGTGGCCCTATCACCCTTTCTGGAGGGCCTCCAGGATGAAGGCCTTGTAGAATACACAATCTAAGATTCCCTTGAAACTTTCTGCACAGCTGTGGGATATACATTCAAGGATCTGTGGCACTGTGGCCGAAAGCACGATAATCAGCAAAGTAAATTCTATTCCTGAGGGAGTCCCTCTTCTCTGGCAGATTGCTCAGCAAGAAGCTTCCTATCTACAAAGAGGGACACTGCTCCTTTGATTTATTGTGAGTGTCTATGACTGAATCTTTGAGAAATACACACAGGATTATTTGTGTTTTGCAAGAACAATTAACGTACCAAGAAGAAATCATTCTGAGCACCAGCACTACTCTGGGCTTCATAGTGACCAGAAGTAGCAGCACTTCATTCACTCAGACCCTACAAGTGAAGACGTTAGAACTTATATCGAGCTATGCCATGTCTATAAAAAACTAGTTTTCTAACCTAATCAATCTGGTAGTAACTTAAATAATTCCTTACCTTTTCCACCCTAAAACAGAGGTCAGGGAACAGTTATGTGACAGGTCCTATAACAGTCTCCCTCAGTCGCAGCCATCTTTGCTTGTCCTTGAGAGCTTTTCTCCTTGAAGAGTAGTGACGGATTTATTTGAAAAGGAATCTCCTAAAATGTCTCCCTTCAGCAATTTCTACAGTTCATAGAAAAGAGATTTAGTTTGCAAATATTTAATGTGTAGGTGGAGTTCTAAATATGAATGAGATGGAGTAGCTCATGGCAGACCAATACTCTCACTGACAATAACTAGGAACGCCAGATAAAATTTGAAAACATCTGCCTGAAGGCACGAGAGCAACCAGGACTTCAGAAGCCGGAGGCATTGATGATCTAGAGTCACCTTTTTCCTTTGGATGTTTGCTGATTCTAGTCATGAGACAAATGGGTGGGGCTGTGAGTAAGGGCCTGGACTGAGGGTCTCTACTAAGAGAAGAGAAACCAGCAAAGCTTTGCCTGGTCTCTTGGCAGGGGGGCTATTAATAGATTTAAAGAGCCAGGACTCTGGTGAGAAGGAAGAAAAGAGCTCAAAACTCTGCTGGTTTTTTCCTCAAGATATTTACTGAATTCTGAAACTGCATTAACCAAACATCTAACAAAATGACTGTCAAACTAGAATTTTATACCTAGCAAAAATATTTCTCAAAAAAAGAAGTTAAAGGACGGGCAACATAGAAAAGACTAGGAACAACAAATGATGGTGAGGATGCAGAGAAAGGGGAACCCTCCTACACTGCTGGTGGGAATGTAAGATAGTTCAATCACATGGAAAGAAGTATGGAGGTTGCTAAAAAACTCAAAATAGAAATACCGTTTGACCCAGGAATTCCGCTCCTAGGAATTTACCCAAAGAAAACAACTTCTCAGATTCAAAAAGACAGATGCACCCCTATTTTTATTGCAGCACTATTTACAATAGCCAAGAAATGGAAGCAACCTAAGTGTCCATCAGTAGATGAATGATAAAGAAGAGGTGCTACATATACACAATGGAATACTATTCAGCCATAAGAAGAAAACAAATCCTACCATTTGCAACAACATGGATGGAGCTAGAGGGTATTATGCTCAGTGAAATAAGCCAGGCAAAGAAAGACAAGTACCATATTATTTCCCTCATTTGTGGAGTATAACAATGAAGCAAAAACTAAAGGAGCAAAACAGCAGCAGACTCACAGACCCAAAAAAGGACAAGCGGTTACCAAAGGGATGGAGTATAAGAACAAAGAAAAAACTGAAGGAACAATACAGCAGCAGACTCACAGACTCCAAGAAGGGACTAGCGGTTACCAAAGGGGAGGTGTGGGGGAGGGCAGGTGGGGAGGAAGGAGAAGGGATTGAGGGGTATCATGATTGGTGCACATGGTGTGTGTGGTGTCACAGGGAAGACAGTGTAACACAGAGAAGGCAAATAGTGGATCTGTGGCATCTTACTACACTGGACAGTGACTGCAATGGGGTATGGGTGGGGTCTTGATAATAAGGGTGAATGTAATAACCACATTGCTTTTCTTGTGAAACCTTCATAAGAGTGTATATCGATGATACGTTAAAAACAAAAGAAGAAGAAGGTAAGACTTTTGGGAGAATGTGGCAGTGATGGCATGATAGTTCTTGAACGTGTCTGAATCACCCATTTAAAACAGAGTACCAGAACAGTAAAGCAAAACCCATAAACAGCATCTACAGCAAAACTGGGTGAAATGCAAAACATGAGCAGGTGGAGATAGTCCACTATTAGCTACAAGACAGTATAGTATCAGCATCTGTTAGGAGGAAGCAGAAGGAACCAGTAGGGATATCTGAAATACCTGCAAGGAGGAGCACCCCAAAATAGTCAACATGCAGTTACAAATGTAGCTCAGAAGATTATTTTGAGAACAAGTCACAAGAGGAAGAGTTCTGCATACTCCCATATATGAGTAACTACAGGCGGTCTGAAGGGCTGAGCAATTAGGGATCAAAGAAATCTAAAAGTCACCAGCCAGGAGATAGCTTCCACCCTGGGATGCAGTAAACTGGAAGAAACATTCCCATAGTTAAGAGAAAAACAAGCCAGACTAACTTTAAATGCATGATTCATGAGTATTTTCTAACGTGTTGGGGAGTTGAGGTTGCAGAGCAGAAAACTTGCCCCACATGTGGGAGACACAATCTGTAGGAGGAGAGGCTATGTGAGTTCTCACTTACCTGGAGTAAGCTCACAAAAACCAGTAAGAGGAGTTCAGCTAGCAGTACTGATGAGTCAGTGAAGGTCAGAGTGAAGCCTCTGAGGGCCTCAGAAACTGAGGGAGTCCTTACCCTCTCGCAGGCTCTTTCTCCTGGGTGCTTTCACTTCCAGAAAAGATCAGAAAGAGCCCTAAGAATGGATCACTGAAATGCAGACCTTGGAGAGAAGAACATGACCCATGTGCAAGGGATAAGAATCTTTAACCCATGCATTTCCCTTTTATCTCCCAGAGAAGGAAAAAGATGCTTTTCCCTGTGGAGGAAATGACAACAAACTCCACCACCTCTAGGGCACTGGTGGAAAGGCAGTTCAGTTGGGACAAGGAAAGGTCAAGGCACTACTCTCTGCTCCTGGGAGAAGGGCAGAAATGTGCGTGGTGCCCACAACTACACAAGGGGAGGGGTGAAAGACTTGGGAAGGACACAGTCCTGAGACCAAGGGACTTGATCCCTGAGACTGAGGCATACAAAGAAAATGCCCCCCTCCCAATTCCCCACACCACTAAGCAAGTAAGTTCAAGTAACTGGTAATAGCAGAATAGTCTTAAGAAAGGGCCAGAAGAGGATGATGAGCATGCAAAGAAACCATCTGAAGTAGTGTACAGGTAAGATAGAAAGCTTAATGTTGAAAATCTATTGCTCTGGAAAACTCACTCTCATCCAAATAAAAATTATTTACCTCAGTCTCTACTGTCCTATATAAGTTCAGCTTCAAACAGACAGACACATAACAGGGCAAGAAACGTTTTACTCCCAAGAAACAAGCAATCATCAGAACCAGCATCTGCTATGAAATAGACACTGGAGGTATCAGACAAGGAATTTTAAATAATTAGGATTAACATGTTTAAAAGCTCTAATGGAAAAGCTGTGTACCATGCAAACTGGCATGTACTTGTAGCAGAAAAATACAGACTAAAAGAAAGAATCAAATGGAAATGCCAGAAATGAAAAACACAGTCCACAGATAATCAATACCTTCCATGGGCTCATGAGCACTTTCAACACAGCCAAGGAAAGAATCAGTGAGTTTGAAGATCAGTCAACAGAAATCAGCCACACTGAAATACAAAGAGAAAAACTAGAAATTAAAAGCAGAAAAGAATATCTAAGATAATATAAAACAGTCTGTGTATAATTTTAATTCCATAATTCCAGAAGGGAGGCAAGCGAATGGGAAATCACTTTATTTTGTTTAGTTGTTATATTTTTATGAAGTCATAATAGGCAACAATGCCCTAAATTTAAATGATGGACACCAAACCACAGATACAAGAAGTTCAGAGCCCCCAATAAACCACCCCTTTGCATATCATATTCAAACTGTTGATAACAAAAGCTAAGAGAAAACCTTGACATCAGCCAGAGAAAAAAGAAACACTACATAGAGACAGAGAGAAAAAAAAAGCAAAGAATAACATCAGATTTTTCATCAGAAATCATGCAAGTCAGAACTCCACACCGAGAAAAAAAATTCACCAAAAAATTAAGATGCCATTGTTGTTGACAATGTAAACCTGTACAACCACTTTGGAAAACCATTTGGCAGTTAGTTCCTTAAAATGTAAAACACAGAGCACTTTAGTTCTGATGTAAAAGGTGTAATAATGTGATAACACGGGAGTAGTTTCACATTTTTTTAAAATCATCACCTTCAACAAAATAGAGAGTAGTATTGTGGAAATATTATATCTTGAGTAGTTTATTCAACCTCTTTTAAAAATAGTTTACTGAATGAAAAAAAATCTTTAAGTGTAAACATAGATTTACCATGTGAACCAGCAATTACACTTTTAGGTAAGAAGTAAAATGAAAACATGTCCACATAAAGACTTGTAAACAGATGTTCATAACAGCATTATTCACAACAGCCAAAAACTGAAAACACTTCAGATATTCATCAATTACTAAACAGATAAAAGATGGTACACCCACACAATGGAATACTATTCAGCAATACAAAGGAACAAAATATTGATACATTTTACAACTTGGATGAACTTCAAAACATGATGCTAAGTGAAAGAAGCCAGATGCAAAGGGCTCAATATTTCATCAATCAATTTATATGAAATTCTAGAGAAGGCAAATCTATAGGCACAGAAAGCAGATTTCTGTACCTTAAACTGATATGGTAATGTATGTCAACTATATCTCAATAAAACTAGAGATGGGGAGAACAGGAAAAACCAAGCAAGCAGACGCATGGTTACCTGGGTTGGAAGTGTGAGGTGATTGGCTTATGCTCTGAGGGATCTTCAAGCAACCTCCCAGGGAATTATGCTGACTGAAAAAAAAAGCCAGTATCAAAAGGTTACATCCTACAGTATGATTCCATGTATACAACATTCTGAAAGTGGATTTGGTGATCACTGCACAATTCTGTAAATTCACTAAATATCACTGGAGTGTACTCTTAAAAGGGTGAATTTTACAATGTGTAAATTATATCTCCGTAAGGCTAATTTTTAAAGTGACAGAGAAATACTTTCTCAGAAAAACAAAAATAATGATGGAAATCAGAGCCAGTAGTCCTACTATACAAGAAATCTTAAAGAAGTTTTCAGGCTGAAGGAATATATTACACTGAAACACATATCTTCACAAACAAATCAAGGATGCTAAAAAGAAGTAAGAGAAAGCACAATAAGTACATTTTTTTATATTTCATTGATCAAAAACATAGCTGTCTAAAAGCAAAAATAGTAGCAAAATATTGTGCTGGAGTAGCTATAGTAGCATCATACAAAACTTCAGAACAAAGAGTATTATCAGAAATAAAGAGGAACATTACATAATAGATCAACTTTCCAATAAGATACAAAAATTATAAATGTGTGTGCACTTAACAGAGTTTAAAAATACATTAAACAAAAACTGATGGTACTGAAAGGAGAAAAAGACAAATACACAATTATAACTGGACACCTTAACATTCCACTCCCAGTAATTGACAGAACATGTAGGCAGAAAATTAGTAAGGCTATAAATTACCTGAACAGCACTATCAACCAACCTGACCTAATTGATGTACATAAAAAAATTCCACCTAGCACATCCTCCTCAACTGCACATGGACCATTCATAAAGACTGATCATATTGTGGGCCATTAAAACAAAACTTCAATTAATTTTAATGAATAGCAATCTTATTAAAAGCATGTTCTCAGACTATACTGGAAATCAATAAAAGACAGATTTCTGTAAAAAATATTGTTAAGATAATGAAAAGACTAATCACAGACAGGGAAAAATTATTTGTAAATCACATATCTGAAGAAGAACTTGTAACCAAAACATGTAAAGAACATTCCAAGTTCAACAATAACAATAATCAAGTGTGGTATTGGAGGAGGTATAGGCGCACAGATCAATGGGACAGAATAGAAAACACAGAAATAGATCCACACAAAGATGGCCAATTGATTTAAACAACGGCTCATAAGAGCAAAAATTGATCAATTGTACCTCATCAAATATGAAAACTTTTCATCTGTGAAAGACTATAGAGGAGGTGAAAAGACAAATTCCAGACTGGGAGAAAAGCCTGCAAATTATATAACCCACAAAGGACTTGTATCTCAACAAGAATATATAAAGAACCCTCAAAACTCAACATTAAAAAAAATCCCATTAGAACATGGGCAAAAGACATGAAAAGACATTTAACTGAAGAGGCTGTACAGAGGTAAATAAGCACAGGAAAAGATACTCAACATCATTAGCCTCAAGGAAATGCAAATTAAAACTACAATGAGATATTACTACAAGCCTATGAAAGTGGTTAAAATAAAAAACTGTGACAACATCAATGCTGGTGAGGATGTCGAAGAAATGGATCACTATTCATTGATAATCAGAATATAAAATGGTACAGCAACTCTGGAAATTAGTTTGGCAGTTTCTTTAAAAACTAAAAATGGATTTACCAGGTGACCCAGCAATTGCATTCTTGGGCATTTATCACAGAGAAATGAAAAGCTATGTTAGTGCAGAAAGCTGTATGAGAATGCTCATAGCAGCTTTGTTCGTGATAGCCAAAAACTGGAAATTCCCAAAATATGTGAATGGTTACATTTTGGCACATCCATACTATGGAATACTCTCCAGCAATAAAAAGAAATGAACTGTTGATACGTGTAACAACTTGAATGAACCTCCCAGGGAATTATGCTGACTGAAAAAAAAAGCCAGTATCAAAAGGTTACATCCTACAGTATGATTCCATGTATACAACATTCTTGGAATAACACAGTTATAGAGATGGAGAACAAAGTAGTGGTAAGGATAAGGCATAGGGGGTAAAAAGTGAGTGAGGCTATAAAGTGGTACTATGAGGTATGAGGATGATGTGGTGATGGTACAGTTCTCTACCTTGGTTGTGGTAGAAGTTACATGAAGCTATACATGATAAAACTGCATAGAACACACACACACACACAACTGGTGCATACATAACTGGTGAAATCTGAATAAGCTCTTTGGAGTGTATCAATATCAATTTCCTGGCCTTACTATTGTACTCTAAGTTATGCAAGGTGTTAGCATTGGGGGAAGCTGGGCAAAGGGGGCACAGGACCTCCCTGAACATTTCTTTGCAACTTCTTCTCAATCTATAATTATTTCAAAATAAAACGTTTTTTAAATTAACAATAAGAAAAGACCCCAATTTTTTAAATGGGCAAAAGATCAGAACAGAAAATTCACCAAAGAAGTTATATGGATGGCAGATAAGCATACGGAAAGATGCTCAACATTACTATCATCAGAGAAATGCAAATTAAAACCCTGATACCACTACATAACTCAGAATGGCTAAAGTCTTAAAAACCTAGCAATATGGGGTGCTGGTAAAGATGTGGAGCAACTCAAAGTCTCATACGCTGCCAGCGGGAATGCAAAAAACGGTACAACCACTCTGCAAAAGTGTGGCAAAACTGTATACAAATATTTAGAAAACCTTTTATTCATAACAGAAAAAAACTGGAAACAAACCAGTGTCCTTCCACTGGTCAATGGATAAACTGCAGTACATCCAGACAATGGACTCCTAACCAGGAATGAAAAGGAGTGAGCTACTGCCTCACACAACCACATGGATGAATCTCAAAGGCATTTTGCTGAGTGAGAGAAGCCAGACCCAAAAGACTACATGCATGATTTCATTTACTTGACAATTTGAAAAAGGCAAACATTACAGGAATGGAGAAAAATAATGATGGGTATCAGACCAGTGGCTGCCATGGTTTGGGAATGGCAGACTGGAATACCAACAGGTGGCACAAGGCAATCTGGAGGGTGATGGAACTCTTCTGTATCTTGATTGTGGTGTTGGATACATAGCTCTGTGCTTCAGTGCAAAGTCTGAAATTGTACACTGCCTAAGTTTGCTCTATGTAAACCAACCAACTAACCAACCAACCAACCAACCAACCAACTAACCAACCAAAATAAGATCCCCCTACACACACCTAAATGTCAGCATGTGCTATCCAGGATGGAGAGTAACTGGAACTCACATTTTGCTGGTGGTAGTGTAAATTGCTACAATCACTTTGGAAAGCTATTTGGCACTATCTGCTAAAATTGTACATACGCACACCCTGTAAGTCATCAGTTTCACCTGTAAGCATATACACAACAAAAATACATATTTTCCAAAGAAAGTAAATACAAGGATGTTCATAGCAGCTTTATTTGTAATAACAAACACCTGGAAACCATACCAATGTCCACAAACAGTGGAATGGATAAATCAATCATGGTACAGTCATAGAAAGGAATTGTGCATGGCAATGAGAATAAAAGAAATACTGCTCACACAACAATATGGAGGAATCTCACAAACAATATTAAGAACCCAGACAATAAAAAAGAAGTACATAATATAGGATTCCCTGTATGTAATCAGAGATGTTACAAGCCAAAAGAGTGGTTACCTTAGGACAATAATAGTGATTTGGAGGGAACACAAAGGAATTCTCGCAAAGTTCTATTTCATAATGTAAGTACTGGTTACTGGTGTGTTACCTTTGTTGAATACCCAATAGTTTATTCACTT